GCCCTCTTGATAAACGACCAATTATATTTACTTATTCACTCGTGTAAAGTCGGTCATCCCTCTGGAGAATTCAGAAATGCAACAGTGGGAACAGCCGCTTCCCTACGACTTAAAAAAACCCCCAATCCACTGGACTTTGTTTCCAAGTTTAAGGCCGTTTAGCTTCCCATCCAGGAAGCTTTTCCAATTTAAAATATCAGAAATAGTTGAACAAAAACAAGGCTTTGTTAGGATACTGTATAAAGCCTCGAACTCAATGCTATTTCTGACATTTTGAATCGAAAAAGCTTCGAGGATCGGAAGCTAAACGTCCTCAAATTTGGAAACAAAGTCCAGAGGATTGTTGTTTTTTTCACTTTTTTGGAATGACTAAACCACCAGATTTATTTGAATTGAGAATTTAAAAATGAAACTGTGGTTTGTTGAAGTAATTTCTTGGTTTAAAAATATAATTGTGATTGCATTTATAGTTAAAATAGCTATTTTTGCTGGGGCCCATACGAAGATCTACTCTGGTAAACAAGTTCTGCAACTTAGGCTTTTGGACTTTGGTACCTCCCGCCCAGGGTGGGCGCTTGTGCTCTTATTTTATGTGGAGATGGTGAAACCACATTTACGATGCTGAAAGTATAAAATGTAATTCTTAGACGTTAAATACATGGTATCATTTCGCATTATTAACTGCTTTGTTTCAAAAATCATAAAAAATTTGAAGTTCTAAAAAAAGAAGAAGGTATTTTTAGAGGAGAACTCTGCTGCACTGGCCTCAAAGCTTCAAAACAAACCCCAGAAAACTGATTTAAGTATGTGGGAACAGATCTTTTTTTGCATGTAATTTAACAAAAACCCTGCTAACTATATGATCCAGATTCTGATGCTGCATCTGTTCTTTTAGTTTACATAACACAAAGGAATACAGATATCACTACTGCTGGACCTGAATGTCTAAATGGTTTCACCTGACTTACATGTTTGCTGAGGAATATAATTTTGTCTCATTTACTTCCTTATCTGAAAAGGTTGTTTTCTCCTGCAAAGAATGGAGTGGATGTAGTACTTTGCTTTCTAAAGATACAGCAATTTTCTAAGTTAATACCCCAAATAGGATGCTATACTTAAGATAAAATGAATAATTTTTGAAGATGTAGGTGAGTTAACCATCTTTTCTGGTCCAATGAAACATTCCACTTTAAAAACCTTAAGTTTGATGTTTGTTTTCTCAGATGATTAACATTAAAGCCAGTGATTAAAGGTTGATGGCATCGTTCATCACATTGCAAATGTTAAGATGACTAGAAGTGGTTTGCTTCCATGGTCGTGATGCTCATTTAAAGTCAGTGTAACAGCCTCAGTACAGCAGAGTCATGTTGTCAACTGTCAGCATATCAGTTCGTTGTGCTGACAGCACCGACCGGAGCCATGTGACCTTAGGACAGGGGTGTCAAACTGGTTCCAGAAAGGGCCGTGTGGCTGCAGGTTTTCTTTCCAACCAAGCAATAGCATACCAGACTCCAGTCATCTCATCAAGTTAGTCCAGTCTTGAGTTAGTCAATATGATGACTTAATGAGATGAATGGAGTCTGGTGTGCTATTGCTTGGTTGGAAAGAAAACCTGCAGCCACACGGCCCTTGCTGGAACCAGTTTGACATTCCTGCCTTAGGATGACCTTCAGGATCCTCTTGGAGGAAAGTAGGATGAATCCACTGGATTTTGTTTCCAAGCATGAAGACGTTTTGCTTCCCATCCTGGTAGCTTTTTCAATTCAAAATGTTGGAAATAATGGTGAGTTCGACTCTTTATACACTAGCCCAACAAAGCCTCGTTTTGGCTTAGAAAACATACAAACTGAAACGGACGAGCTTGTCCACTCCTTTGGAATCGGGGTCGTTTGGCTCCTTTGTTAACCTGAATTTTTACATTTTGAATTGAAAAAGCTTCTTGGATGGGAAGCAAAACGTCTTCGAACTTGGAAACAAAATCCAGTGGATTGTTTTAAACTTTTTTGGAATGACTACTACCTGGATGACTGAGAACTTCACCAGCATATTAACCATATATATCAAGAGAACTTTTTGAAATTGATGAATATTAATAAACTATACAACACTTTTTTATACAGAATTAGTCAAATTATTCCTTTTTCTATGATATTGTAATTTAGAAATAGACAGTAGTTCTAGTTAACTATTTTACCTTCAATTCCCTTGCATAAAGAAGGTCAATTTTTATTTTAGAAGTGCTTCTTGAACGGCAGAAACTGGGTGAGATACCTGATTTTCTTGCAGCTGGGTCAGTAGCAAATAGTTGGACAGTGACCTTAGGTAGCATCCACTGCATCCAAAGGCTGACCTTCCCACTGGTTCCTTCGATGCTGCTGGTTTGTTGCTCCAGAGTCACCGTGTCTGCAAACGGACCATCATCTCCAGCCGGCACTGAGTCGCCCTATGGAGCCAAAACAGGAAACTGTTGGAAAACTGGTCATATAAACTAAAGGAAGAGCTCAACATTACAGAGATTTCATATCTAAAAAAAGATAAGAGTAAGAAACTGCAGTTGATCGGTTCAATGGATCAAACAGATGGACCAAAACATGTATTAATAATTAAAGTACAGGAGAATGAGCGGAAAAAGAAGATAAATGACGGTCCAGTGTTTGCGCTGCAGCTGAAAGCTGATGTGAGGGCGCAGGTCCAACCATGTGTTGGGTGCATGCAAGTGTTTGCAAGTGTTGTCACTGTGCATGTAGCCATAACAAAGCAACCACCGACAATCCAGCCTTTCTATGTGAAGATGACATCAATGTCTGGTAAACAGAGCAGTATACAGCATGGAGGTGGGGGGGGACCTTTGGTGTGAAGCTGTCATTGGTGTTAACCCCCAAGCTGAGCCACCATCACCCACACGGCCTTCTTTCAATGAAGTACGGCAGGACTCACACATCTATGCATCCTGGGAGAGAATAGAAGAGCAGACCGGAGGGCGGGGGTGGAGGTGTGTGTGTGGGGGGGTGTAGTGGAAAAACAAGCAGGATGCGGTGGAGGATTCATCTTTAAGCTCTCAGCTCATCGCGGAGGGTTTGGCAAGACACTGACAGCACAGGGGACCGTTTTTTTTTTTTTTTCTCTGGCTCTCTTTTTCTTAAATCTGTTTTTCAAACATGTATCTATGTGGCTGACTGGCAAAGTGAAAAGCCTGTAAACAAACAGCGTGAGCGTCTGCAGCTTTGGCTCTGCAGAGCTGCACTTTTTTCCACGGTTTCTCCCCGTCACAGTGTGGTAATGACAGATTGTGTCATGGTTATTGAGCCTGGCTGTGGCTGGTGAGGAGGTTATCAACCATCTCAATTAGAAAGCCCACAGCTGCTAAGGCTGATTACAGTGTCCTAAAGAGGATCCAGATGAGGAAACTATGTCCCCCCCATCCACAGCTTGGGTACTACGCTCATTTGCAAACTTGATTTAATCACAGACTGAGTGTGGCTCAAAGCAGAAAAACAGCGGATGACAATAAAATGAAGAACTGAAGGATTATGCTGAATTAACAAATAGACTGGGGACCACAGGAATGTTACTGCCAGTAGCCGACATTAGTTGGATTAATGCTATAAAGCTTCAGAACCTATAGAATATATCCATCCATCCATCTATCCATTTTCTGACACGCTTTATCCCAAACGGGATCACGAGGGGTGCTGGTAGAATATATCCCTATGATAAAAATTTTATTTCATTTTTGTTGCAATCAAAGATCAAGTTTTGGAGATTTGAATAACTTGTAAAAGATTTACATTTTCGATTTTGTTTCAATATTTTCTTTTTTTGGATAATTATCCCAAGATTAAGGCATATCATTTTAAAATAATGACCTTCATGTAATTATCACAAATCTATGTAACTATGTAATTACCATTAGGTTACCACATAACATTTTCTATTACTGGCCACCAAATACAATTATAAAACTGAACTCAAGTTACATATAAATAAGAGTTTAGTTAAGCAGATTGGCTTGCTGTCTTCTAGATTTGGTTTTCTGTTATATACCAAGTAATAAACTGCATTTTAACAGATAAAACATTCATTTATTGCTGCCTGTGGAATGAATATGAGTTTTGCCCGCCTAAATTCCCATAAAGTTTTTCTTGTTACCTAGAAATATAGTGTAATTTGCTATTATTACCAGGTTATTGATTAGGGCTAGGTATTTTTGCCAAAGTCCTGAATCGATTCGATTTTGATCAATACAGTTCTAAATCGATTAATTTCGATTCAATCTGTTTTT